AGAAATTGCACACAGGGCAAAGTTTCCATCAGGGATATGATTGACAGTCTTCCTAGGGCAGAATTTCCTTAGGCAGGTAGAGTGTCCACTGGGGCAAGGCTTAGCATCCTCCTGGGAGAGAATTTTCACCAGGTCTAAGATTACCCCCAGTGGACTGCCTAAGCTTAAGACCCTCCTGGGACAAAATATCCATGAAGAGGTTCTAGCAGAGGGTGGGGCTGAGGATCCTCTTGGGAAAGAATTCCCACCAGTGGGGGAAACTGTGGGCTCTTATGGGACAGAAATTATGTAAGGGGGCAGATTTTCCCCAGGGATGGACCCATGCTCTCACCGTAAGAGTGGTCCAACAAGGGTCTGCACAAGTCTGGAGTGAAGCCCTCAGGAGGGTCGTAACTCTGACAGACAGCGAAGGCCTCTGTGGAGGGAAACTGGAGTGAGTACTACCACTTCCACCCTCTTCATCTTGTGTCCCCGAGAACCCCCTCTGCCTGCCTGCCCCCCCACCCCCACCCCACTGACCAATGCTGGAGTTCCGGCTGCTCCTGGGCTTGGCACAGAGCACGCTGGAAAAGAAGACACGCAACTGGCTGTAGAGAAGTGTCACATCCCGGCCTCGGAATATCTGCGGGGTAGAGAAGTAAAGATGAAGGGGTTAAGGGTAGCCCTCATGGACCTCTCTCTATAGGTCATCAGGTTCCCTGAGGCTTACCTTGGCCACAAAGCAGCCCCCCGGCTTCAAGACATGTGTAGCAATGTTCAGAGCCTGTGGGCAGGACGGATGGCTAAGGCTGAGGTGGAGATAGCCAGGAGGGGGCCAAAGTAGGTCAGGGGAGGCCAGAGTTACTCACGGCTAGAAGGAGCTGGGCCTGCATATACTCATCAACATCATGGAGGCCAGTTACTGCAGCAAGAGGGACAATGTTAGGGGGCTTTTCCAATTCTTGCATCTTCTTGTATCAGAGAGATTAGAAGTTTAAAAACATTTCCCAGGCTCTTCTCCTGCTAAGGTTCTGGATGCAAATCACTGTCCACCAACTGAATGTACACTCTGAGCTCCTAACTCTTTGGAACTAATTTAACTCTCTAAACAATCACATGCACAAGTACCATTATCACTCCCACCTCTAGCCCAGACTGTTCCCCTGAACTCCAGATTCATAGATCAGACTCCACATCTTTAACACATCCAAAGCAAACTCTTGCCCTTCCTTCCTGAGCCTGTTCCTCCCACCATCTTCCCCATCTCATCTGATGCTTCTAGTTGTACAGATTCAAAACCTCAGTTACCTTTGATGCTGCCGCCCCATGTCCTCTCCTCACACCTACACTCAAGCCATTTAGCAAATCTACTATCAAAAGATGACCTGGGCTCAGCACCTGTGGCTCAAG